ACCTTACGAGGTAAAGAACTTACAATTTATTATATTATTAATAAAGAGTATAATTAACCAAGTTAAAACTTATCCTTTGCAACCCTTTTACCGTGTATTGTTTATTAACTTTGCATGATATTGTATTGATTCGTTGTATTGACTTAAGGTGTAGTCACTGAAACGTAATCTCTGAAATATCCAAAAATTACTTGTGTGTAATTGAGAATAATTTTTGACGTTTACTATGAATCTTCATTGTTATTCTCTGAGTTTAGTCTTCGCATTATTAATTTTTGTGAATTTTATTTGAGTTACAAATCAGACGTAATAACACCATGCGTATTAAAAGGAATTAAAAAAATCTTTTCCTGTTTGGTATTATTGGAACTCAAAGGCTTGGATGCAAAGAAGTATTTTTAAACACTTTCTTGAAAGATTAAATTCAAAAATGGTTAGAGAAAGACGTTATATCATTCTATTAATGGACAATGCTAAGTGTTATAAATGTGAAAACATTGATAATCTATTAAATATTAAAGTTTATTTTTTATTACCAAACACAACTTCACATCTTCAACCATTAGATCAAGATATAATCTATAGTTTAAAGACACAATATCACATCAAAATCGTATTCAAGCTTATGATTTTATAAAGAAGGTATCCAATCATACCTCTAATTAATATTCTTGATTCTATCAATTTGATTTCTAAAGCTTAGAAAAAAGTAACTAAAAGAACTATCATTAATAGTTTGGCTAAAGCTGGAATTCTTCCTGATGATAATGATTCCAATATTTCTGATAATAAATCTGATGATAATAATTTTGAAGATAATATTGAAGAAATACAACTTTTAATTGATGAGTTGCCAACTATAAATCCCTTAAGTATAGAAGAATATATTAATATCGATGATAAATTAATTGCTGAGGAAGAATTATCATTAGAAGAAATCATTGATATAGTTAAAAGTCAAAATACAGGAGAAGAGAAAAATAAGGCAGAAGATGAAGTGAAGAAAGATGAAACTATAATTACATCAGATGCATTAAATAGTATTAAAAAATTAATTAAATATATTCAGCAAAATAATCTTGGTATTAATAATTCAGAAATGCAAAGTCTAGTTAATTTGAAAAAAAAAATTATTTTTAACAATAAGAAAAGACAAAAGCAGAGTAAATTAGATGATTTTTTTTTATTAGATAAAATTTTCAATTTTAATATTTTTAGTAAATAAAATTTTTCTAATTTTTGCTGCATATACAGTATATAAAAATTTGATATAATGGATTTTCACATGATTTTTATATAAGTTTCAGTATATCGAAACTTTTTGCCATATCAGAAATCTCAATATATCAGATATTTTTTTCTGGAACAGATGGTTCCAATATACTGAATTTCACTATGTACGTATTAGTTATATTCTGGCTAATTAGGAATAAATAAAATTTTACTATTCTAATTAACCAGGATATAATTGATTTATCTTCTGCCATTTACATAATAATCTACTAAAGTTTACGTAATTATCTCTTAAATTTACGTAATTATGCATTATTATAAAGTTTAAGCTTATTTGACGCAAATATATAAGAGACAAATTATAATTACTAAATTAAATTTCTTTTTTTTCTCATAGCAGGTTTTATAAAAGCTTCTGAGTTATTAAATTCAAAAAATAATACTACTATTTTAGATGAATTAAAAGATAAATTTACTCATATGCAAAATGCTCAACTTATTGAAATACACAAAGAAACTTCAAAATCATTCAATTCTAAAGAAATATATGACCATCCTTGTGTAGAGACTTTACAAAAATATATTATTATATCGAAACCTAAAAATACTCAACAAAATACTTGTTTATAGTTTTCTAGATTTGAGGAATTTGTGAAGAGCACTCAACCGGATATAGATTTACTTACACTTTATGATAAAAAATTATTGCAGTACTTTTATGTGAATTTATAGTAGTTATAAAAATAAGAGAAAAAAAGAATTTAAAGCAAATTCATTATACAATGAAATATGTGCTATTAATAGATTTTATCAAGAATTATTCAAAGCTAAAGAATCATTTAATATACATGAAGATTATGAGTTTAAGGCAGTATGCGATACCTTGCATACCAGAATAATTGAGTTAGAAGAAATCAATAATAGTGATTATAATGGAGCTGATCCTCTTACTGATGAAGAAATAATTCAAATTTTTGAGTATCCTAATATGTCAAATAATACATCAGATGGATTATTAAGAAGAGTTTTTTTATGGATAGGATATTACACAGCACAAAGAGGTGGATCTTACCATAATATTATAGCTAATCATTTTAAAGAACGCGATAATAGTGGATTTACACTAGTCGAAATCAAAAAAATTGGCCATGTAATAAATCAGCCTAAAATCAGCCTAAAATCGGATATCATAAAAAATCAGCCAAAATCAAGCTATTCAAATTATGGTCGATTTGGTATATATCAAGAATAAACCAAAATTTGCCTGTCTGATTTCTAGCCAATTGATATATATCAAAATCAGCCAAAATTCATCCGATTTATAGCCGATTGGAATAATCAGATTTATTTAATAAATTTAGACATTACTAATTTTATCAATGAAAAAATAAAATTCAAAGAAAATTGCATTTATAAATGTTATTTTCTATTAATAGGATTGATGACCAAATATTCTTTTGCATTTCGTCAGGTTGAAATTTGATAGTTTACTGGCACAAATCGACCCAAAATATGATGAACTGGTATAATACAATCATGACTTTCTGGGTAAAAATCAGTATCCCATAATTCGACATTACATGTTTCTTCATCATTGTGGAAATAGTATCGAATATTTGGAGAACCTGCATGTTGATACCAGCGAATGTATGCTAGAAAATGTTCAGCAGCAAATCGACTATATGAGTAAAATAGTATTGAACTTGACTTGGGTAACAATCAACTGTGCCGTCATTTGTAATAAATTTGGCCAAAATGTATGAACTTTTCACATGTCGTAATGACATTGATGAACCAAGATTTCAGAACCAATTCAGCATCTTCTGAATTAGTTTATTTTGACTCGAATTGTTATAGCATTTTCTGAATCCTTATTGAATAGCTTCCAAAATTCTAACATGCTATAAATCGTCATGTAATATTCAATCATAAAATCAAGCATTTCACTTGAAAGAATTATATTATTAGATGATGGTTTAAGGAATTCACCAGAAAATATTTCACTACCAGAAACATTCGATTCCCTAATGTTTTGTAAATTCATCCAAAATTGGTGGATTTCATCAGTAGAAAATTGGTCTGTATCCGATAGAAAACCTATAAAAGGATAGTTGTTTAGTAATTCAAGCCCTTTTACTTTAATGCTATCAGAACTTATAATACTATTGATTTGACTATCAAACATTAATCGACGCATTAGCTCAGGTTTGATTTTTCTATTACTATTTGGCAAAGAACCTAAAAATCGTAAAAAAAATGTTAAATTATTAGATATATAATGATTTATTAGATAATAATAATGAGTTACCTAATATTTATTCATGCGTTCAAAAGAAAAATACCAGAATGTATATAACGGCCTATAATCTATTGAGCATTCGTTCAAATGGAGAGAAAGGTGAAGATTTGGTGTGATTTTGTTACGACCATGATTTTTTTCTATCAACTTTATTATTCTAATTAATCTTCTATGAGCTTCATGCAATATATCAGATTCCACAATCTGGTTATACTAATTCTTACAAAATTTGTAAGAATTTTTCTATCTACAATCAGAAGATATTCCCAAAATGAAACAGTAGAATATACAGTAAAGAATATTCACCACTGATCGGCTGTGAAATTAGAAAATCCCTCTTCTTCATAAATTTTACCTAGAATTCGATCTAAATTGGATGGAATCTGAAACTCATTCATTTTTTTCTGAATCTTGTTCAAGGAATTTGATGTTAAAATCCCCTCATCGATCCA